CGCGTATGTTTGATTTAAGATAGAAAAGGTTTATTTTGTTGCCTTTTTGAACTCATTGTGCCAAACCTTTTAGAATTGGAGAAGCAATAAAGCTGTGCCCTGAGCTTTTCATCTGCCACACTTCTGAATGTGAAACAAATCTACCAGACTTTGCAAAAGCCAGTTTGTGCTAAACGTGTAGAATTCTATAAAATCATTCTCATTTATTTCCCTTGCCATTTCTCTCGTAACATTTTCTGCCCTACTCTCGTCAACTGAAGGTGTTTGACATTTTTTTCCTGCTGCAGTGGAATGGTACCATGGACACTGGTTGCCTTATGGTACCTCACTCAAGTGGCCAATTTCCATGTATGAGTCTTGATGGTAAATGTCAGGGGAGCATCACAGCTGATCGTGATCCTGCCCTCCCTTACCTAACATCTTCATATGAAGTCTGCAGCAGAGATTTCAGGAATATAGGAAATTAGGAACGGGGACAACAGCATTTTGTCCATTGAGCATACTTGAGGGGAAAAGGAAATAGAGGGGTACAGAAAAGGAGAGTTGGAGGGGTAGGGGTTCAGGTGGAATATAAACCCCATCATGGACTAGTTGGGATGGGTGGCCTGTTTTCATGTCGTATCACTCAATGTAACCCTCGGTAGCCCGCTCCACCACAGATGACTCTATTCCCCGCGTACTACAAACTTTGCCTGATCTTACCTTCCAGCCAGGAGCGGTAACCTTGACTGATTTTACTTTTCCTCTCACTGATATCAGATGCCACCCTACCACAAGATCAGCTAACTCAGCACAGACTACAGCTTAAATGGCTCAGCTAATCACTGCACAAATTCAGCTGTTCTTATTTTGTGTTATTTAGCAAAAAAAAAGGTCCAAGGCTAAAACATGATATTGATGCTTGCATTCTTAAACACACAATCGGGGTTTGTTACATCTGTGTGTATACATTGTGTTTGATTTACCATTTTCATAAATTCTCCGATGTGACCAGACTTAAATGACCAATCATTGCCTTTAATATTCCTAAGGATATATAAAAAGAAAGTAATGCAATGAACAACAGTAAATAACAACCTTCACATGCTTATTATTTACACAGTAGTTCATAGAACTGTTAAATGTTAAATGGGAAAGACTTTATTGTATGCAACCAGGACTGGGGATACTCAGAAGAGTGAGTCATCAGATGAATTATTTAAAATATGTAACCATCTTTAAATGTATTATTTAAATGTACAAATGGGAATGAGGTACCAATGGATGGATTCATATACAAAAAAATTCTCTGAGGTTTTTCCAAACAAAAAGTGAATTCTCCAAATGTCTAAATCAAAGGGCTATTAGAACAGACTGAAGTAATAATGCATTTAAATCCTGATCAGAACGCCGTTGCATCCTCAGGTCAGATAGATTATGAAAACCTGTTGTTTCCCTTGTCTCCCAAAATAATGGAGTCACTAATCTACTTGATCTACACGAATTAGCTAAAGACGAAAGTGAGTGATGCGTACATTTGAAAGATATAAGGCACTTGTATAAGCAATTTCTTTGGGAAAAAAAACAATGCCCAGGCTGCTGGAAACCTTTTAATGAGTACTAATTACCACAGCAGAAAATGTTAGAGGCTTCATTGGATTTGTGTCGGTGAATGAAAGATCAAAGATTGTGGCACTTGCATTTTAATCTGTTGGCTAAAAAAATGAATAAGGGGATGATAATGGGGCCCAGGAGATCGGCAGCCCAGGTGGTGGAGACTTTAATCCCTTCTTTACTGCTGAGGCCTGAGGCCCAGGCACGATTAAGTAATCGCCATTTTTATTTCAACTTCTTGTTCAAACATTGAGATTGTTTCTGGCCTCGGGTGGGGGGGTTAAAAGTCTGAAAGTGCAGGTACTGATATGAAATGTAATTTAGCCTTTGTTTTTTTCTTGAGTTTCTGATTTGTGAAATCGCACTCCCATTAGGTTTTAAAAGCGCTCCTTTGTGGTGGGGGTTGAGGTAGTTGAAGAGCTTTGATGCGGTCTGATACAGGGAGTAGTTTAATAGAGGCCATTGGCACAGTTGTGGCAATGACATCCATCAAACTCGGTTGATCAGAAGGAATGGAAGTGATGGTTGCTCAGTGATAGCTCAGTGCATTAGTCCTGAGCTCAAACACACTAGTTGCATTGGATGAGGGGAGGGAAAAGAAGCATGTCCCACAGTACATGAAATCACAAGTGGCTTGTGAAATGAAATACGCAGAAAATAATAATGATAATAATCCTTGCATTGATACAGCGCCTTATCACGTCGTTGAGACGTCTCAAAGCACTTCACAGAATATACTGTAACGTGTCTGTGTTTTGTGGGCAGAACAAAATCCAAAATCCAAATACTTTGCATGAAGTCACTACAGCAAAGATTTATTCAGTGGAGGAATTAAACATGCGGGGCAAAATAGGTATCCAGCTGTGCAGACAACAACTCCCATCCCTGGTAACATGGCATAAAGGGTCATAAACTTAACTGACAGGCCCCATCAGGTCAGTCAGAAGCAATGTTAGAAACAAAGTTAGTAAAGGCCCGGGTCAAGCCCTGCTCTAAAGTCAGTGTTGTCAAAAGCCTCAGTCACATTCATACCTACAGGCAACCACTGCTGATCCTGAGTCATTAATCAAACTGCAGAGCCAGCCTGACCCTGGCTCCTTCCCTTTGAAGTGTGGTGTCCTTTCTAGCATGAGGAAATAATTTGCTGCCTGATTCAATGAGCCATCAGTGGAGCCAGCAGACCTAATGACATGTGAGAATATTAACCTCCTACCACGAAGAGCTGTGAATCTTGAGAGGCAGTCTATAATTCACCCAGTACACCGGAGGCACTCTGTCTCACAGTCCCTGTGACAGAACTTTGTTTTTATTCCCACTTCCTTCTCCTGCAACATTGCCGTCAAGATTTTAAAGTAGATCTAATCTTACTCTTTTCTCACATCTCATTTCAACTGCCGTCTCTTGCTTCTGCACTTTTTATTAAGTTTATTAAAACCAGTTGAATCCTACTTTTTATGGCAGGGCTCTGCTCGCCCATTCATTATGGTCTCTTATCTTGGCAGGCAATCAGAACTGAGAGGCAGCTAGTCCATTATGCACATATGAAGCCCATCACTCCTTCAGCATTTGCCAATTCATCAAACATTTATCATTTGCCCTCTGAACAGCATGTCAATTTGCCCGTCACTCCCCAGTCTGTGCTGCTTTGTTTGAATCTAAACATTGCTTTTTCACACTAGTGTGGTAAAGCCGATCCTTATAACACATCGCCCCCTCCCTTCAAAAGCGATCCTCCTCTGCACTCAGCAGGAGGGCTCCTTGCCAATGCCTGTTGTGTGCAACATTTTTGTAAGATAATGAGGGTGAAGTGTGAGCCATAGGCAATGATTCTGGGATATTAGGTATGACAGGAAGCTTGATCATAATTATCTTAACGAGGATAGGGTTAATTACAGTGGAAACTTAAAGTTCTTTCCATTTGAATTGGGAAGAGTGAAATGCATTCTGATGTTTTGTCATCTTGATGTGACTTTGGAGATTGCAATGAAAATCTGGCTGTATTGGGGCTCCTCTGGGAGGACGGTGTGAGCCCTACAGTGAGGTAGAGGAGATGGTACCTGTGAGTAAGATAATGGCAGCTCTCAGGTCATTAGAGCTGTGTGAATAGAGAAGTGCACTAAGCAATCGTAACAAAGCTCGTCAGCTTTCTAACCCAAACTAATGCAAAATGCCGTTTCTACATTCACTAGTTGTCTCAAGTGTGGAGCGAAAGTGTGCATAACATCAAGGAAGAACAGAACAGAAAAGAGATTTAAACAACAGACAGATTTATGTCGGAGACTGTCAACACCCACCATTCCCTTCCTCTCCCCTCCAACCACCCCCCCCCCCCCCCCCCACCTCCCCCTTGGCTCACAGTTGTGAATTTAGCTGATTAAATCATGAAATGCATACTGTGCTGATGACATGAAAACAACAATTAATAAGAAGCCCTTGTGTAATGCATCTCCCTTTAACTGAGCAGCTAATAACATTACATGGCAAAATTATCAAAATCAGACAGGTGTAAGGGGATTTGTGGAGAATTTTTTTCTCTCCCTCTGTCTTGAGTGCTCAGCCAAGCTTTTGGAGTGAGCCCGGCTCTTTCAATGGGCAACTCCCTCTAGTGTTTTGAGGCCTTTGTCCCACTTCATGCTCTGTCATTTTGTTTTATGCTTCCCCTGAAGCACTTAGATGTTTGCCTTTTTTTCAGTTTGCCAGTTACAATCCATTTGCTGATTCTCATGATAAGATTATTCTATTTACATAGCATTATTCAGAAACAATATGTATTCTTGTGGTTAAATGCAGCAGGGCACGGGCTATTTGCTCCCGCGGCCCTATTCATTTCCTGCCGTGCTTTGATTTCCAGGTGCAGGCTGTAAGAAGCGTGAAGCACCCTCCCCCCCTTATGTAACAAGCATATCACGTTAATTTTATTCTTTCGCTTCTCTTCACATTACGGTGCTCACTTCTGAGCGTGATGATAAAACTGGATTCATTAGCTGCGCTAAGAATATGATATTTGCACTGAATGATGGATGACAAGTTAAATTTGTGTCCAGGGAATGAGGGTGAACTGTGACAGAGTTATTTATCTTGGGAATGAAGGTTGGGGTCAGGGAAGGCTGGGTGCCTCAAGGCACAAGACATTGACAAATTCATCCTGTAGGCCCCATATCTGAAGCCTTTTGTTTTAGATCCTGGCTACTCACTAAGTGACCCCCATCCTTCATCCTGCCAGAGTGTGAAAGATGTGAGCCTGTGCCAGCGCTCTCCCTGCCACTAATTCTTGTCATTCACTCGCTTGTCAAGACCAAACCAAAACTTTCCAGCTCGTGAAAGGGAAGGTTGAAATATTTATTTCCGTGCATAATGGCCTTCCTGATTTAGTGGCGTATCATTTTCCTGTTCCCTTGTTGTTGCAGGTCATTGGAAGGACTGGAAGCATTCAGCTGTCTGGAAGAGCTGATTCTGGACAACAATCTCCTCACAAATGACCTCCAGTTGCCCAGGTTACCACACCTTCATACCCTGACAATCAACAAGAATCAAATATCCTTTACACGGTGGTGTTGTAAATTACACAGTGGCCCAATTAAAGGGAAGCGCTTGCAGTTTTGTCCAAATTGAGATGGTGCACAAAAAGTTCTCATCAAAGAAGGGATAAGGTTTTTAATCCTGCTTTGTCTCCATTTTTGCAGCACTTTTACTTTGTAACACAGGATTGTTACGGTGTAAAAAAAATCTTTAAGTAAATACTGTAGAGATTGAAAATACTTTTTTTTAAAAAAGAAAGCAGGAAAGAGATTGTCTTGGATGGCAGAGAGCCCTCTGCTGGAATGATTATTGAATGAGATAAAATCAGGCCCACAGAGAAAGTAAGCAAGGAATTGGCTATGCACCAATAATGTATTAATGGTGTTCCTTGTGTTTTTTTATTACATTTAGATAGATGCTGAATTGCTTTATCCAACTAAATAGTACCTTTATGTATGTATGAAGCTTCCATTCAGGAGCTCTCACAGGAAGAAGGAAATGTGAAATCTCAAAACTATTTCTAGCAAAGTAAGTAATTGTTACACCATTCTCAAATTTACTGAGGCCTTTATTATAACCCACGTTGTTTATGGCTCTGTTTCTAGTGTTGTTTCCCCCCCCTCTCCCCCCCATAAAATAACCTTTTCCATGATTTTGTATGGAACTAATCCACACAAATCAGGAAGGCTCCAGATTTAATCCCCAGTCTGTGCTGAGTTAGCTCTTCTCGGATGGGGCAACAGGAGTGATGTCACAGTCAGCCTTAAATGTCCCTGGACTCGGAACAAGAAAAATTAACCAGGTTTCCTGCTCATGATCTCTCTCCAGCGGCCCCTGCTGGAAGGGCACATAAGTAACCTAAAGCCGGGACTCAAATCAGTCTTGCCTGCGATGCATCCAAAGTTAGATTTATTTGAGACATTCACTGTCCAAGATTGCAAGTAAAGAATTGGCAACACAGTGAGGTGCCAGAGAGCTGTATCGTCAGAAGAAGAGAGGAAAGGAGATTAAAATACCAACATAAATTTTGTACAACTCCTAAATTACCCCGACACACAGTGTGACTCTACTGCTGTACGTAAAATAATGATGCCGGCAGAGTCTGTGAAAGGACAACAGCACTCACTGGTGCTCAGAAGTTGCTGGCGACTTGATTATGACTGCACAGAGCTATCAGACAGCATTTATATTCTTGTGGGGAATAAGGCTGTTATTGTTTGACACTGCAGACTCATTTTACAATGGACTGAATGTATTAGTGATGGATGTAGTGTGAAGTAGCTGTTTGTTTCCTGTTGGAAAAGTTTCAGTTTCAACAATTGCTTACCATTTAGCCACACAACATCCATCATTTTGTCAATGTTTTAAATGTTTTGCAGTGAACCACCTTTGAAAGAAAGTAAACTAAAAAGAGCCACATTCTTTCAATATATGCCAACATTCTGACATGTGTTTGCTATGAATTGCCCCCTAAACAATAACTTTGACATGTCTTGAGTGCTGCAGTAAATTTGATTGTCAGCCACTGATGTATATAATTTTTTACCTATGAGTGCTTCCTTATAAATGCTTTTTCATTAATGTGATTGAATCCTTAACCTGTGGCCTTTGACACATAACAGAATTAGACAGCCTTTTGGATCATTTAGCTGAAGTGTTGCCCTTCCTTAAGTACCTCAGTCTTCTAGGAAATAAAGCCTGTCCCAATGAACTTGTTAGTTTGGACAATGATGAAAGTGACTACCAGAGATACAGGTTAGTGTTCTCTTTATGAAATGGTCGAGATGTCTTCTGTTTGTCTGCTGACAAAACACATAAAATTAAATGTTCTTCCTTACCAGTTCAATGTTTTCAACTTTTAGTCATATTTGTTCATAACACACAAGCTATTAATCATTTAAACAATAGGAGTAACTTAAGGAAAGCATTCAGCGGCACGCATGCATGGTTCATTTAGTGCTGTCAAAAAGTTATACACAACTGACAACCTTTACAGTGTGGGATATAATATTTATAGCATTTCACCCAGCCATAGATCAGAAGAAGCACATTCAAAAATTGGTGCTATTAATAGGAAACCATATACTGGGCTCGTGCATGAAATTTTTGGGAAAGCTAGTGCAGAAACTTGGCAAATTTACTGTTTTTTACTGTGAATTAAACAAGCAACGTTAATTTTATTTATTAGAGTACAATGATGGCTCGCTCTTAGTACAATGCTGTCCATACAATGGTTTGAAAATATGTGCAAGTTTAGTAGCCAAGTGTGTACATTAAGGACATTACGCATTGGAATGGGCACCTAAACATCCACGCTGGCTCAGTTGATAGCACTCTGAAGATTGAGTTTAAAGATTGTGTGTTCAAGCCCATGTCTGGATTTTGAACGCATCGTCTAAATTGACACTATTGCTGTACTTGGGGTGTGCATTGTTGGCGTGCCATCCTTCAGGTGAGATGTTAAACTGACACCTGTCTGCCTGTTCAGTTGGACGTTAAAAATTCTATGACACTCCTCCAAAAGAGATTGGAGATTCTCCCTGTGCCCCAGCCAGATAAAATTATTTTTTCGTTGTTTGAAGGACGTTGCTTTATGCAACTTGGCTTCTGCGTTCGCCTACAAAATATACATTAAACTTTACAGCAAAATCCTGTGAAGCGCTCTTATCCTCCCAAGATTATATCAAGTGCAAGGATTTTTATTATTATATCCAATGAGTTATAGTCAAGGATATTGTTGTGGACGGGGAGGGGAGTCATTCTTTGAAGCGTTCTGAGACGTTACCCTGCGTGGAGGGCACTATATACGTCCAAGTTGTTGTAATTGCATATATTAGCAGATGATCTTCATCTGAAAGTCCTGACAGGTACAAGTCGTGACAGGCTATTATCATTGGCTACACAGGAAGGATCTGTCTGTCATTTGCACTGGCAATAAACTATATTCATAGCACAAATAGTGGCATACATGCAGCTTTGCCTTGGTGCAATAAAATATGTCTCAGATTTGATTTATGTACTTTAGCTGGATTTTGGACAAGGGAACATTCTACAGGTACGATCTGCAGACCTGGGCAAGTTACAATCCCAAAAGTCATTTCATAATTTATTTCTACTTTATTTTTTCTTTTGCAGATGTTTAAGTATTTGGTTTTATGTTCCATGTAACCATCATATTCTGGGCCTGGAAATGGTCCTTACATTTTAGGCAGACTTTGTTCCTATTTGTACGAATTTCAGGGCTGGAAGCCAGAACGTTCTGCACAACAGTGATCCTTTAAAACTGTTGGTTCTCATCAACCCTTTTGAATGGGATTTAAAAATCATTATGATTTTGTCAACAATATGGGAAGAATGAGGGGAAAATATTTTCTCATCAGTGAATAATTTTCTGTCTTATCCCTGGCCACTGTAGTCTTTCAAATGATGTGAAAAACATCAGGCCAGTACAGATCAAAGTGATGGAACACAACCCAGACAGAATTGCTGAATTCTGTAACAGCACAGGGAAGCCCAGTGTATGATTACACTTGATGCCTGTTAATGGTTAATGGGTACATTTTCGCAGGCACTAATTGATTCGCAATTTAAATCAGCACTGATGGGTTTTGCTTGATGGGGAATGATCTGATAAATCGGACTATTTCATTTACACCAGGGGGTCCCAATTAACAGGCTTCAACTACACAATGTATGGGTTGTTTTAAATCTGGTATTGTACTGTAACTCACTGCAGGTGAAAACCATAAACCTCCTCGAAGCACAATCATATTTCTTAATTGAACAAAGCCAGAGGCATTTGTAAATGGATCTTTGTTGACCAGCAGTTTCCAGCCTGTTACACTGCTTATTAATAGTTTTATTACTCGTAACAAATTTGCCCCCAAAACAATGTGCTTCGCAGCCACTGCTGTCTTTGGCTCAAGAGATTTCTGCTGTAGTATGAAAGTCACTTGAGCAACTTATTTTTAAGTTGTCACAATAAGTCTGGACATAACGTCCCATACCAGTGCACAACATGAAGGCTGTTCCACCCCAAACTAGCCAGTTTGTTCCTTCCTAGAGTAGCATTTGCCTCATGTCAGCATGATTCCCATGTTTTTGTTGTCAAAGTTTATTGCGTGTGCTGTCTTCCCTTCATTTATTTCAATGTTCTGCATTTTCTCTCATTCTTCTTCTTCCTTGAATGTCGTCGTCCCCCATTCCCCCCCCCACCCAAAACAAATATTGTTTTTCATTGTATTGATTAATACAACGGTATTACACTTACTCCTGGTATAGTATTGTCATTCATTTTCTAAAAACATTTTCTCCACCAATACAATGCAAATTACCATCCAAATTTACATTTATATAGCGATTTTCGTGTCAATTTGTATCTATTCAAGCTGCATATTAAAGGTCCCTTGGTTTAATGTACTAGAGTGCTCAAAGAAATAGGTCAGAAAATCCTGAGAGGTATAATGTGGTGTCCGAAGGCTGAGACGTGCTCGATGAGGAGGTGCTTTTTGAATTGGTGGCAACTATTTTCATCTCAGCCATGCTTTTGCTCTCTGAGGTGGCAACAGCATTTGTATAACGTAAGATTATGTCTCTGAGCACTTCACAAAGATGGAGTCGATTGCAAGCAAGGAGGCAGGTGAGGGTGGTGGGTGGGGGGAAGAGGTAGATTTTTAAAATCATGATCATAATCATGATTTGGTGGAATTGGTTCACATCCATCAAGGTAGACCTGGAGATTCATCATTTTGGAAGGATAGTTCTGATTCAGTCTCAGTTCCCATCCATCATAAATACAGAGACCAGCCTTCAAAGATGGCAAGTGCACTTTGATTAGTATTTGCACAGGGGATTTGGTTTTCATGAGCAGCTGGAAGTTTTGGACAGCTTGGCTGATATTCCTTTACTTTTGCAATAAGATAGGAAGTATCTGAGAATTCAGAGGTTCCAAACGGTTGTGCATTCAGACCTGAAGCACTAAATCTTGGCGGCCAGCAACCCTTTCCCCAGATTCTGCAAGTGTCTTTTCCTCTCCGATATGGATATTAGATATAAATCTATGGACAGATGAGTTTATTGGGAAACCATAGGTGATCTGTGTCTACATTGCAACACATTATCTAAAGTTTGGGGAGAAGATCGGATGCATCAAGTCATAGTTAGGTAATACCAAACTTCTTATATTTTAGTTCTAGGCTGACCTATTCTTTTTCTATTGACACTTGCCAAATTCTGCTTCTTCATCATGAAGAGGAGTATGAATTTAAGCATGATTTGTAACAGTCACATGAGAGCTATCTTTGGCACCAGCTGTCAAAGACCATTAACGTTTTTCGATCCTTTTTGCAGTCTTTTCTCGAGGATGTAGAAAGGTTAACTCAGTTTTTTTAGGAAATTGTATCTTCTTTCTTCATCTCCATTTGCCACAGTGCACATCTACCATGCAATTATGAACTTTTGAGATGCTTTTTGGGGACAGAGTTGCCTCTACCTTATTAAGAGCCACTTATCAATTTAACCTATCTAAAAATTTGTAGCTTTCTGTCCATTACTTTTTTTCAGTATGGTGAAGTTATTATTGACGTTTGATAGCTCCTACAAGCAGCGACTCATTATGGCTTGTGCACTGATACCTTGAGGCCTCTTCTGTGGAAATGTCATTGCATCCTGTGTCTTCATGGGTGCCTGACCAATCTCATGGGGGAAAGGCACGTGATTGAAGGAAAAATTATATTTCTGGAGAATTTAAATCAGAAAAAATATTCCCAGGTAAAGGGAAACATACTTTTTATTTTAAAGTAAATGTAGGACTCTTCGATCCCCATACTCAATTTTCTTTGCAGGACCCAAGTATGAATTAACCAACTCAGGCAGTGCTGGAATAAATCTTTTGACACAAGGCGTTTTCCTGATGTCTTGATGTGTTTTATTCTGTATAAATATTGTAAATAAATGTCAACATGCATTTGTGACAATCAGACAAGCAGCTATTAGAAAGCAACTTCTTGCTGCATGTTGTTTTTCTTTTTCTGGATTCTGCCTCTTAGAATTAGTGGCATGAAATACCTTTCAGTAATGACATATTTCAACAGGGTCTATGTAGAAACCATAAAACTTTAATGGTATTTATGGAGCTCCATCACTGGGTCCTTGTGGTAGGCCATACAGGAAATTACAAGTAACTCTTTTAGGAGTGAAATTGCAGACATGTGGACTAGTTTTATACGTGACTGTTTCCTCCAGTTTTTATTCTCAAAAGTTACTTTCACTTCCATTTGACATAATGCCAATTGCAGTACTGGAAAACTAAGCATAATGAAGATTTTCGAATTATTTAAAATTGTAATGTGTATAGATATTGCAAACCTGTTTATTTGATGGTTTCCACTAGCCTCTATATGTTCTTTCAACTTAACATTCCTCTTCTTATATTTCACATAATTGTAGTAATAGCTGTCATTATTTTGGCCTCTGCTGTTTGTTTCAGACTTAAAATTACTTTCGTCGATGCAATGTTCATGGTCTTTGCTCCAGTTGTATTTGGATCATGTGTTGCACTTTATCCTCACAAGAAATTGCTCGAACAGCAACAGCTTATATTTCTGTTATGAGTTTCATGCTTGGCAAACGTCTGAAAGCGCTTCACAAAGCTAAATGGGAATGTAAGATGGGGGGGGGGGGCGGCAGGGAAGATGACTGAAAATGCGGTCAAAAAAAAGTGTTAATATGGGCATTAAAGGAGGGGAGGGAATGGGTAAGGTGGAGGGACAAATTGGGCAGTGAGCATCCAAATTGACACATTGAGCCAAACTGAATTTAATTCCCCTTCTTCAACATATACCCAAAAGAGGAAAGGATTCAGAGAGTTTCAAACTGTTGGCTAACGGTGCTGAATAATTTTGGGATTTGACATATCAACATAAAAATCAGATTTAAAATTGATTAACGTTTGAGCTATGGCAGTAAATGTAACTAAATAATAGCATAATTTTGTTTAAAAGCAACTCAAGATGATTATACATTTAAATTGTGAATTCTTCATATGTACTCTATTAAAATTTGCCAAAGTTCATTTTTCACAGGCATTGGCAAAGCACTGATACCATAATCAAGAGGCCCTTCTTGTTTTATAAAGTCTAGATTTATGAGTATTGGGTATTTATCCGTGGAAGCATTGCAGGCAAGCCCAATTTTGTGATCATCCACACCCACAGTCCATATTCTTGGAAAAATCTTTGGATAAAATGTCAGGATTGGGAAATCAATTCTTGTGCCTTAGCTGACTCAGTACAGGCCAGGGCCAAACTTCACACCAATTAATGTCACATAGTGACAGCTCTTTGTAGGTGAACCTGACAGTTATTTTGTACACAGACAAATATACATTCAAACATCCATAAGTGAATAACTAAATAATCTGGGGGATAGTTGGCCAGAGCACTGGGACAAACTCTTTTCAAGTAGTACCATGGGATTTTTAATAACCAACTCCGTACTTTTGTTCGTTACTTTTACCAGCAGTTTTTTTTATTTGAGGCATCCATTTCCTTGACTATCCAGGTAGAGAGTCTCTGGTGATTTCTCACACAGTATCAGGATTTGGATTTAGACTATCTGAAGCTTGGGGGGAAATCAAAGAGTCAATTTGAATCAATCCAATCGCTCAGTTCTCAATCTGTCTTTCTCCTTGAAAATCCAAAGTGACCCTGCAAGCCCTGGGTTTTCATCAGACTGCATCTGGACATTGAATTGTATTGAAGTGGCAGCTGATAGACTCTCCCCGCCACCATCTGACCAGCATGACTCAATGCACTGTGAAAGACTGCTGAATCCCAAACAAAGTCATGTACTCACTGAAGTTGAATCTGGAGAAATTCTCAAGATCTTGTGTATATTCCTGGCTTCCTGCCAAAAGCAGACATCCACATCAGCAACACTCACAACATAAGTACAAACACTAAACTGCAAAGGGACGTGGTAACCCGTACCGCCCATCTGAATAGAAATGACAGGAGCTTGATGAAAAGGGATAAACAGCTTGCAAGATAATGTTATCTCAATTCACTCCCTTCGGAAAACAATAAAAACCAGTACAATTTACCAGAATTGTCCGCAAAGCTCACAGTCTTTAGCTCCTGTAAATGTACCAAATCGAATGCATATGCCCAATGTTAAGCAATTCCTATGCTTTGTGTAATGTGTTTTTTTAAGAAAAAATATACTTTCAAAAATTACAAACTTGTCGCTGGACAAGCATACTGATATTCACATTATAATTAAATAATGATTTAGTTGACTTCTGAAACTTGTACTCTTCCATTCACTTTGGATCCAATCATTGCCAATGAGATAAGATTTTTTGAAATTACATCACCATCGTTGTACCATCGTGGAAAGAAATAACTAGGATTTTAGGCCTACAGTAGGAAAGGGCATTGACCTTGCATTCCTCATTAAGCTCCCTTAAGGCAAGAAATTACCATTTTCTTCTGCGAAGGTGGATCTAGACATTTCGTCTAAATTTGCTTAGACAAAGCGTGCCGGCATTTTAAATGAAAGTTGATGTGCCCTTGCAATGTTTAACCCTATCCCCCTGACAAACTCACTGAGCAAATACCTTCTACAGTGTGGACTAGAAAGAACCCAACCTAAATTTGTGGTCTGTACTGAGGTAACTTACCTTGCCAAGTTGGCACAATTTGTATCCCAGTAAACAACCTGTTATGGGCTGTTAAAGTCTGCTGCGAGTGAGTATTGCAGTTTCCTCACAACTGCTGCTTGGAATAGATCCTTGTCTTTTTCTTAAGTGCTAGCTTGAGACATTAGAAATAGTTTACAAGCTGCCAATAAACAAGACTCCAAGGCCTGTAACTCAGTTATTCAGGTTATACTATTGTGTATTTTAATAAAATAGTTTAAGCTTATAGAATAATAATTTATTCAATTAAATTATGGAGAAAATAGCTTCAAGTCAGATTTAAAATATATATATGTATATATAAAATCGTTCTACATTTCTACATTTGCAAAAAAATCTGAGGCTAATGGCGAGACCAGTAAGCTGAATGTTTGCCCTGTTTTTAAAATAAAATGGAGTAAATAACCAACGGGGGGAAGTGGGGAGAGAAATGAGAAATCAGTACTTAAGCAGAATTTTACGAGACTCGTATTCAGGTGGACTCACACTGATCTAAATTGGACAGCTTTAAACTCCTTAATAATGATCCTTGCATTTGATATCCTTGCATTTTAAGCTCTCAGACAATACCCTGCATGAAGGGCGCTATATAAGAGATTTGGAGGAGTCTCAAAGCACTTCACTTCAAATGTAGTGACCATGTAAATGTAGGTGAACCCATAACCAATATGAGCACAGCAAAGTCCCACAAACAGCTGTGATGTAAATAACTAGTTTTATTCCATGCCACGGTTCAAAAAGAGAAGGGAGGTTCTCCCAGTGTCCTGGGGGATTGTTGGCCAGGGCACTGAGAGAAACTACCTTGTTTTTTTTGAACACTTGGACAAGATATTGCATTGGAGTGTCAGCCAAGAGACCTTGAACCCACAGCCTTTTGACTTAGAGGCAAGAATGCTATCAAATGAGCTAGGCTGACAACATGAATGCTTGGATAAACCAAAATTTTGTTTTCTAGCTTAAGCTGTTTACAGTTTTTCTCAGGTGAGGGAAAAAGGAGTATTATGTACACCTTTTATGCTGCACTGTCTGTTACCTTATCTTTCTTCACCCTTGCCCCCACAGTTGTGTCTTATCTTTTGCCATTTCTGCCTTAATCCTTCAGGGCTATTGTAGAATCCAGTCTGGCCTTGTTGTCTCTCAGCTATTCATTTTCTAATCTTTATCTCCACTTTGTTGGTTTGTTTGTCTTTGTTGAATTGACCTCCTTTGCGACTGTTTTCTGCAGATATTATGCTGTACGTGCAACTACTACCAGTAACCAAAGCATCTTCTTTTCCAGATATTTTATCCTTCACAAACTGACAAACCTGAAGTTCTTAGATGCAAGAAAAGTCACAAGAAAAGAACGAGTGGAAGCCGTAACTCGGGGTGCCTTCATGAAAATTGTGAAACCCAAGGATGATACGGTAAGGCGTCAGCCAAGGGATCAGATGCTAAATCTTTCTGCATTGCTGCACATCATCACAGAAACTAAAAACACTGAAAATAAACAAGGAAAATGTGCATTAAATAGCTATCTCGACCTATATTGTTTACACTTTATTAAACCAGGGAAGTTTCTAAATAGTAGAGTTTCTTTCCTCCTTGTGAAATATAAATGAAAAGGGCTTTTGTCTCCATTGTTTGGCCTTTGTTTAAGTGATCTGATCTTTTGTTGCCGTGCCTTTTCAGCGAGTACATCTTTTTTTCAAATCCTATTTATCTCAGAGGGAGGTGTTGCAGTTTCAGAGCTGCTTCCTCAATCAGATTCACCTTTTCACTTTGTTGCCTCCTGTTTACATTTTTCTCTTCTCAAAGCATTGATGGTTGGTCTGTGCTACGTGATCACTGATAAAAATCTCCTGTAAAGATGAAAAGCCCTAATCACATGAGGGAATATCTAATGACCAGATTTTGACCTCATTTCATTTGCGTAAGGGTAGATCAAAGTGGACAGGGCCTGTCCATTTCCAGTAGCGTTACAGGATGTGGCAGCGCTTCACATCAGAACGACAGCTCAAGTGCAGGACAATCAAATTGCTCAATTATATCCTGGGTTTGTAATTATTCCTCTCTGTTTTTTGCAAAGCCCATGTCTGTCTTTCCATTGACATAATTTACCTTATGATCACCTCGCTAACGTTTTGGTTGCAGCCATGGTTGAAGAGATGTGGAGGCAGCTTCCATCCCTTTTTGTTTTGAAATTGATGAGGTCTGATATAGCAGGCATAATAACCTCTGCAGGGCATGTGTAGACTTTTGTGTTTAATTGCCTTCATCATCCCGATTGTCTGCTGACCAAAAGTGCAGGTCACCAATTACTGCAGCTGTAGCCAGACCTGCAGATAATTGGATTTTTGTAGCAGAGTTGATGGCATAATTGGATATTTTTGTTACTTGTTTTCATGTATTCCTGCAGTTATTGCCTGCATTAAAGACATGATCCCATTTATGGAGTAAAACTGCTCAAGTTTATGGGGCTCCTTGGCTTTACATTTTATTTTATTTCACGATCAAAATACTTGACGACAATTGCAGGTGATTATGCTACTGGCTGGTCTAAGAATAATAACTTTGTACTTTGGTATGGATACACACAGGCCCATGTTAATTTAATAACTGCTTCATTGAAACGGAAATGCCAGGTTTCTGTTGATGCTGTAAAAGCCTGTTTAGCTTTGATCATGATTTATGTCTTCACTTTTAATATCAGGTTTACAGAGTTGTACTTCAATATGCAGGAAAACTTCATGACTGAAATAAATATTAATTCAGTCATGATTTATGCTATAATTTTTCAAATGTGACATTCAGTGCAAGTATATTTGTGTGTTTCAAATTACATGTGCACCACCCTTATAACTCTGCCCTTGGGAGTCCAAGCATATGTGTGTTATAAAGTGCATAAATAAAGCAGAACATAAAGTGAAAAGGCCTAGATCCTTATAACTGCACAGTATCTTATTCAATGAAAATGGATTCATTTTCAATTTTATCGGGGCAATTTCTCTTCTCTCACAAAGGCAGCGTTTGGATCAGGGGTGCAGTTCAGGGGGTTCCGATGATGCTCGTGCTGTTTTTCAACCTGAGGTTAATCAGTGAATGCTGGCTGGCTCTTTGACCATGGTGGTCCATTACTGTTGGTCTTGGGCTATTTTTATTTCACATCGTTACTCGTGCACTCTCTATCAGTGGGGGGGGGGAAAGGAGGTGTCACTGAATAATGAACAGGAATCCGAGTTAGCTCTTCCTTCTCTCTGCTTCACCTCACAGAGCCATTGACACCAATGGTAGCAATGGGAACATTTATAGCTTCATTGTGCCACTACGTTAAATTTTAAGTTTAAATGTGTATCAGTTTGTCCTTCACACAACACTGAGAGAGAAAAATGCTCCTTTTTTCCCCCTACAACCAAACTTTCACTTACAAAAAGCAATTTTGGTTCTGTTTCTGCTTATCACCAGCAGAATGGATTGTTGTTGTTTCAACTATCCTTCAAATATTAAACTGAGGTCCCATTTCATTGTTCAGGTGGATGTTAAAGAACCCATGGCACTGTTTGAAAAGAGACAGGATTTTCTCACTGGTCAACAATCATTCAGATAAAATTGGACATTTACTTGATAGCTGCTTGTGGGACAATGTTATGTATAAATTGGCTGCTGCATTTACCCAAAAATACATAGTCAATGCACTTTACAGTAAATCCTGTGAAGTGCTTTGAGACGTTTTGATGACATGATGTAAAGATGATTATTATTATTATTATAGACATTGTATTCAGCTCTTGGTTCAGGACATGGCTGTTAAATTGGAACAGCCAAAGCTGCAAAGTGTTGATAATAGGATAATTGAGGTTAACTTGGGATTTTAACCTTCCAAAATTACTTTAATTCATTGATTGTTCTTCAGCTTTTTTTTGATTTGAGCCATGTTCGCCATGCTACGTACACATAGAAAATTCCCTGCATTGGGAATGGAATATGCATTCCCTCCCCAGAGGGATGCACCCTGCTCATTTAATTTTGGAGAGTGTTGGGAGCAACTTGGCTGGCGAGAGCCATGTTTTGGGGACCCCGAGGTGTGGGTTAGGGTACAGCTGGAGTTTAATCAGCAAAAACCGCAGCATAGTTTGTCATTGAGAGCACTACCTTGCAAGCTCCTTGATGGTTATCCAGCTAGGATCACTCTAGCCATGGTAACTGGAACTCTGTGCAAATCTTAAATATTTTACAAATTATCTCAGTAGTATGAAGTAATAGTGTTGTTTTATTTTGATTCCGCTTTTGTTTTCTTTAACCAGAGTTGTATTTGTTCCTTACATTTTACAATAAGTTGTCTGTTTTAGGTGTCCGCTGTGAATTATTTGGAAAACAAATTAAGATTCCAAAGAACTTAATTAGTTGCACGTACAGAACTTTGTGATGTTATAACAGATTATTCATGTTCTTTTCCTCACTCACAAGATGCATAAAATATAAAGCATAAAGTGTGCCTGTCAACACAGAACTGCTTGTAAAAAGCATATCTCCATTTATATTTATGCCTAGTTTAGAGTCCACTGTTTCTATTTAATGATGCAATCATTCCAAATTAAATGAACGGCTATAATAATTAATCCTTCCTAGCAGTCGTGAAGAATTCAAGGTTATTTCTGAGATATTACTGTGGCATGGAAGCCTTCCAACCAATAGGGTATTAGAAATTGTACCTTATTATAGTGAAAGGGAAATGTAGCCCTACAGTGTGGATCAAGAGTTGATGAGAATTACAGGCTCCCTCAAGTATCGATTATATCTAAGGAACGCAACTTATAGCAAGCAACATTAAATTGTGTTCTAAGTTATACGATTATTTTTCTGCACAGAAACCAGTCCACTTTGTCACTAAGTTTCATTCAGATTAAAATGAGTTGGACCTTGGACCTCAGGAGCTGGGAGGTGAGTGAGTGATGTGCAGTCAAATGTCTGCTGCAAAAAATGTGTGAGTTAAAATAAAGATATGTATTAAAACTTAGAACTATTCATCATCAATTGCGCTTTTTAAAAAAAAGTCACGCACCAATATTTCAACTGAAGATTTATTAGCGTCATCATTTCAGGCTGCTGGATGTCAGAACGGCTTTATTTAATAAGTACGCTGCAGGGAGGATCATGTTATCTTTGTTTTCACAGAAATTACAACAACAACTTGTATTTATGTAGCAGCGTTCATGGAAAAGAACATTTCGGAATGCTTGACAAATGTAGTGGTACACACACAGTGCAGGGAAATAAGAGATTTATACCGCTTTTATATTGCGTGTTGCCCACAAAGACAAACCAATCTCTGCAAACAACAACTCGTAAAGAAAAATCTGTCCGCCAAACTTGGCAGAATCTACTTTAGAGTTGGCTCTTTCGGTGCCTCCACAATCAGATTGTGCTTTGCACAAGTCATCACCTAAGTTGTGCGATGATATCGGACCCCTCACGCACCCATGAAAAAACACTAGAACTTTATTTTCGGGATCTCCACTAATCAAATAATCATAATGGGATTGGAAACACAGCTGTGAGCTATGTCAGCCAATAATCAGGTACAGCAACAACAACAACAACAACAACAATCCATTTATAGAGTGCCTTTCACGTCGAGAGGACGTCCCAAGGCGCTGTACAGTTGGGTCAGGACCCGAGCAAGGGGGAAATGGTCAGGGTGAGGGGAGGGAAGGGAGGGAGCGAGGAGGGGGGAAATGGTCAGGGTGAGGGGAAGGAAGGAGCGAGGAGGGGGTAGAGAGTTGAGAGGGGAGCTGAAGCACGGTCAAAGAGAAAGGTCTTGAGACCGGCCTTGAAGGAGGAAAGGGAGGAAGCGGCGAAGGCACTGGGGGATAGAATTCCAGAGCCTAGGGGCTGAGAGGCTGAAGGCCCGGCCACCGATGGTAGGGCGGTTGGGGCGGGGGATGTGGAGCAGACCGGAGCCAGAGGAACGGAGGGTACGGGCAGGTAGGTAGGGGTTTAGTAGGTCAGAGAGGTAGGAGGGAGCAAGGTCGTGAATGACCTTGTAGGTGAGGATGAGGATCTTGAAATCGATCCTCTGGGGGATGGGGAGCCAGTGGAGGTGAGCGAGGGTGGGAGTGATGTGGTCCCGAAGCCTGGTGCGGGACAGTACACGGGAGCTGCAGAGTTCTGAATGACCTGCAGCTTGTGGAGGGAGGTGCCGGAGAGAGGAGAGAGTTCCCATAGTCCAGCCTTGAGGTGATAAAGTCGTGGACCAGAGTTTCAGCAGCGTGAGAGGTGAGGTAGTGCCGTAGTCTGGCGAAATTCCGGAGGTGATGGAAGGCGGTGCCAGTTGTGGCGCGGAGATGAGGGAGAAAGGACAGCTCAGGGTCGAACAGAACCCCGAGGTTCCTGACGGGCTTTGAGAAGTGGAGAGTGCAGCCTTGGA